CTAGTGGTAGAGAAAATAGGATTTTAGGTTGAATCTATAGAAATATTGAATATGAGTCTAAAGATGTTATTCTTTCATTGTACAGTTCACTGGTTAGGCCATATTTGGAATACTGTGTTCAGTCTTGGGCTCCTTACCTTAAGAAGGAAATTGCATTGTTGGAAAGGGTTCAGAGAAGGGTTAGTAGAATGGTGCCTGGGATGGAGGGGTTGTTGTACGAGGAGAGGTTGAAATTTCTCAGTTTGTTTTCTCTTGAAAAAAGAAGAGTAAGGAGGGATCTGATTGAGGTGTTTAAGATTGTAAAGGGAATTAATAGTGTTGATGTATCATCTTTTTTTATATTTAACAATGAGAATAATAAGACTAGAGAACACAAGTATAAATTTTAGCAAAGCAGGAATCATCTTCAGGTAAAACAGTTTTATTTTTTCTAACAGTGTAGTTGGCCTTAGGAATGGGTTGCCTTCAAATGTTGTAGAGGCAGTAAATTTAGGTGAGTTTAAGAAAAAGCTTGGTAAGTATATGAATGCTGGGTTTAAAATGTTATTATTATTATTAATCATTTTCATTTAGTTTTGAGGATGGAACAACCAAGATGGGCCAATAGGTCCCATGTTGTCCCAAAATATGTTATCCTGAAACAAACAAACACACACAAAAGACCTTCACAACAGATTTGTATCTCTACACTCCAAAGTTCAGTGCTGGCCTCTTTAAATAATGCAGACTTCAAGTTAGACTCCTAGTAGCATACCAGTGAAAGTAAAGGTAAATGTTTAAAAATATGTAAACATGTATCATAGGGTTAGTGTTGCCCTAGATTTAAGACAAGAGCTCATTGTTTATTTGACCAGCCTGACCCTGGGTGTAAATGTATGAATAATTATTTTAGGATTATATATGTTCAGTAACTTTGTAAACATTTTGCCTTACGGTTGTTTCATAATATTAGTATTAATACATCTTATAAAACTGTTAGTGTAAGGTACTTGGGGCACATACAAAAACTAAATCCTAAGAAATGCATCTAGTTGCTTTGCATTTCATTAACAAACTGAATTGATACATTGTGAAACAAGAAGGCCTAACAAAGTTCATCAGTTGAAACACTTCATAAAACCAAAGAAGGCCTAAAGGCTACACTAATATTACTAGTAATAGTAATACTGACTAACAATAACACTATGTAATAAGTGACTACTGTATTTTCTAAGATATTAAACTTTCTATTAATAGTACAAAGTTTATTAGTCTATGGCTTGATTAATATTATTCTAAATCGCAATTAATCTAATGCTGAAAAGTAGTATACTGGTACTACAAGTAATAATAATAGGAGTATTACTATTAGTATTACGATTATGAATATTTAGAATAATAAAAATAGTATTTTTAACACTTACCCCAGTTAATGTGAAGAGTATGCATGTCAAAGCGAAATAAAAAATCTCGAACTTTAGAAACTGCATCATAATTTATAGTTTTATATACGTTACTGGTAGTGGTGCGGTAGGTTGCAGAATTGATATGCAACTTCTGTATTGCGACTCTAGAAACTACAGTAGATATTTAGACGTAATCAGTAATTCAAAATACAAACGAAAGTTCCAAAACTACTTTTTAACTAGTACTAAATAAAGTAGTCGTTAGTCCTAGTTCTGCTCCAATAATTTAGTTATTTACGTAATTTTATTACCATTACTAGTATTACTATTAGGCCTATAAGAGAAGTAAGTATAACTTATAAGACGACAAATGTGTCGTTATTCCAGTAGTTGTATAATTTACTCTTTCAAAATAAAAAAGCTTCGGTCAATTAACACAGTACAATTTTTTTTTGCACAAGCTATAGTTACACAGTTCGAGAAAAGAGTTAACAATATTAACAGCACAAACGTAAACTTTATCCCACTTTCAAATACCAAACTATAGTACAACCAGACAACACAACCGCAGTAAACTTCAGCTCACGCCATTATTCTACACAACAGCGCACTCATTACCACATCACGCGACAAGTACATGACATCATACAATTTCCGCTTTTTTGTGACTCAATAAATGCTTTATTTTTTTATACGATTACAATATTAATAAAATCCAAATGTTTACTTAACTCATATATATATTTATGTCACTTATATACAATTTAAGGTTATTACTATTTCTTACAAATTAATATTCATAGTCAATTCAATGAATGGTGTAAATAAAAAACGGTTTTATATATATATTGATGAAAATGTTTGCTTGCTTGAAGACAACTATTTCATGAACTATGTAGTACCTATATAATATTCTTTACTCGTTGAAGAGGGCTAACTGTTGGACTAAGAACATGATATGTATTAAATTTCATAGGTAATTCAACGTTTTCTGTTTCCCTCAACATAAATTTCATGAAATATCACAAATATTAAAACGTATTATAGTTTGTATTTAAGCACAAAGCTACACAATGAGCTATCTGTGCTCTGCCCACCACGGGTATTGAAACCCGGATTCTAGCGTTGTAAGTCCGCAGACATGCCGCTGTGCCACTGGGGGGGCACGTATTATAGAAATATTTACAATTACTGTCAAGGGCGCCCGCAGAAAAAAAATAGGGGGGATCAAGTAACTCAAGTTTGAAAAAATTATGAAGTCGAAATAGTTTTCTCTTATGGAAGACTGGAAGTCGCCATTTTTCTGGCACGGGATGAATAAATATAAAACTATGATTCGATTAAAATATCTTCTAAATTACTGTATCAACGAGAAATAAAAACAATTTAGACACTAATCACACTATATCATACCTTATTATTTTCAAATAACATAGAAGAATAATTTTACATATCTCGTCACTTTTTTTTTCTTTTTGAAAATTCAGGGGGGGTCAAGTGACCCCCCTTGTAACCATGATTGCAGTTATATTGGACGTTAATATAAAAAATATTTCTCCAGTAGAACCACGAATCCTTTTTCCTGTCTTAATGTTTGTTTGCTTGTTTGTTGTTAAGCGCAAAGCTACATATAATGAACTATCTGCAGTACTCTGCCCACCACGGGTATCGAAAACCGGTTTTTTGCGTTATAAGCCTACAGACTTACCGGCTACACCTTTTCCATTATTTACATTATTCGCACAAATACATTCCTTCATAGATTCTTGGGGTAGCTTTGTAATAAGTAGTTGGTGTAAAATTGAAAATTATATTACAAGGAGGCAATTGATTTTTTTTAAATTATAGTTCGATACGGTTAATATCTCCACACTGACGTGTCTTTCGGGCAAAGGGATTTTCATAAGTATTATCATAACTCTTCTTATCTTTTATCTCTTTTTGAGCTCAGGGATAGTCATCAAAACGTATGGTTTTTCAGCTAAATTACGAGGAATAATTAACTTGGCGTGTTTAGGATGATTACAGGAAAAATCTAAATATTTGTGAGAATCGGTGGATATATAAAATATATCAATGCTTAAATACCTATGTTAAGATATTACGACAAGACATGCAGTTTTTAGCACAAAGCTACACAATGGGATATCTGTGATGTGTCCACTGCAGGAATCAAACCCATAGTTTTAGCTTTTTAAGTCCTGAAACTTACAACCCAGACACCAGAGGACCGAAAAAAAATGCAAATGAATGTGCTGTATCATTCTTTCCACAGATAAACGGGCTTTATTATAATAATACGAGGTAGTTTTTCAATTTGTAAAAACTGTTTACTTTTACTGATACCCCTCCACCTGGTGGGCCAGCGGTAAGTTTATGGTCTTACAACTCTAAAATCTGTGGTTCGATACTCTCTGATGGACAGAATGCATATAGCCCATTGTGTGGCTTTGCGCCGAAACAAGCAAATTAACAATAACTTGTCACTCTCATCTGAAGTTAAACGTTAGGAGTGTTAACAATAACTTGACACACTCCTTTGAAGTTAAACTGTACGAGTTTTAACAATAACTTGACACTCTTCTCTAAAGTTAAACAGTGGAAGTGCTAACAATAACTTGACACTCTCTTCTAAAGTTAAACGGTAGGAGTGTTAACAATAACTTGTCACTCTCCTCTAAAGTTAAACATTAGGAGTGTTAACAATAACTTGACACTCTCCTCTAAAGTTAAACGGTAGGAGTGCTAACAATAACTTACACTCTCGTCTAAAGTTAAACGGTAGGAGTGAGAGGAGAGTGTAGAGTTATTGTTAGAGATGAGAGTGTCAAGTTATTGTTATCGTTCCTACCGTTTAACTTTTAAGTTAAACGGTAGGAGTGCTAACAATAACTTGACACTCTCATCTAAAGTTAAACGGTAGGAGTGCTAACAATAACTTGACACTCTTCTCTAAAGTTAAACGGTAGGAGTGTTAACAATAACTTGACACTCTCATCTAAAGTTAAACGGTAGGAGTGTTAACAATAACTCGACACATTCCTCTAAAGTTAAACGGTAGGAGTGTTAACAATAACTTGACACTCTCATCTAAAGTTAAACGGTAGGAGTGTTAACAATAACTCGACACATTCCTCTAAAGTTAAACGGTAGGAGTGTTAACAATAACTCGACACTCTCCTCTAAAGTTAAACAGTAGGAGTGATTTTATGAGTTTTCAAAAGATGTTTTACAGAGAAATACAGTTGGAATTTAGACGTGTGAGTGTGACGTCATCAAGTGATTCATACTAGCGAACTTTGCTCAACAGTATAGACAATTTTATCAATGAATTTATCTTATACGACAGAGCACTTGAACTGGTTGAGATAAAAACAACAACAAAAAGTCTATGATTCGTACGGTTGTAAGCTTATACCTTTAAATGTTTTTTTTATTATTTTTAAGTTTCAAAATGTTTATCATAATTGTATCTTTCTGTTTTCTTACTAATGAATGTCTACGTCAGTTTACATCATGGACCTTTTCATTATCTACGAAAGATATTTTTTATCTCTGTTTCCAGACATGCACAGTCTCCCGGTGGGACAGCGGTAAGTCTTCGGATTTAGAACACTAAAATCAGGGATTCGATTCCCTTCGGTGGACACAGCAGATAACAAACAGACACACACACATGTTTTCATTACTCCCCTTCATCCAGTGGTATATCCAGTAATCACGAGAGCTTATAATGCTAAAATTCAAGGTTCAGTTCTTGCGATGGGCAAAGCACAGAGATCTGTCACTGCGCAGCTCTGTGATTAAAACATCCAACCAAATCTATTAGTCAAATAGAACTTCGAGTCCAACATAGTTTAAAATTGTAGAATAATTTTATGTTCGTTCTAGTGACGCAAATACTGAAAATATAATGAAGAATGTTTTAACATGTTACTGGTGAATACTTTAACATGTTAAAGTTACTTTAACGTTACTTTAATGTTCACATCCACTTATTTTCACCTGTGTGTATTTTCAGGTATGCATGTCAGGTGTTTTATTATTGTGTGGTCGAGAAACATGCTCAATGGCATATCGCTGCTCGAACCTTGGACCTTACAACACGCAGCCCTGAACGTTAATCACTATCCCTCGTCCAGCCTTTTATAAATATAGTCACAAGTATATCGAGTTGACATATACCAGCAGTTTTGGGACTAATAACAAAAATATGTTAATTTGACGTATATGGATCCAGAATTTCTCTCAAACCGAATTTTAAGTATTACACAGTGTTGATCGTTGTTGTTGTTGAACTCGGAAGGAGAACGTGGCTAACACGAACTGTCCGTTACTCGGCCATCTGTAAGAGGAACCAATTGCTGGCTATTAACCATCCGATTTCCTGCTTCGCATCGGCTTCTGGCCTAATGACAACTCGCGTGTATTAATAAAACAATAATACCGTCTGAAAGCGTTATGAACTCGAACAATGAAACTGGCTGAGTGTTGATTGTTGCGTAAGTGTGTGTCGTTTTGTAACGTCATTTTTGACCTGACACGGCATCTTATAGAGGGTCTGTTTTAAATCGTCTAATTTTTACCCGGGTTAACCCAGGTTGTCCTATTATGCCCCTGTTAAATCAGAAACCTTTGTAAAAAGCAAAAAATAAATAAATACTATTTACCTAGAAACAACTTTTGAAGTGCAGGTTAAAGTTTAAAAAGCCCTACAGTTGCTGTGACTAAATGTTGGTCCAGCTGCTGCTCGGTCTGCTCCGACGCACATGGTTATAATTTGTACAAAAGTCACGCTATTATCCCTTCAGTTTTCTTTCTGACCCAAGAAATGTAAATAGCCGAAGTTAAAAAAAAAAGATTTGGATTAATATCCCATCGTTGTATCAGCAGTAGTTTACGGGGTTACAATGATAAAATCCGAGTTAGGATTGATTCTTTGCAGTGGCTAGAGAGCAGATATCTAATTGTGCAGCTTTGTACTAAACAGACAGCCAATGTTTAGCTATTTTTAAACAGAAAGGATCAAAATTTCACTTTTTCATGTAACAAAATATGTCAAATACATAAATGTACTAATACTGAAAAGAAAGACATACTGTTTTCAAGCTTTCTATGGATATGATATTAGTACAAACAAACATTTGAATATAATTATTTCCACCAATAATATGAATTCTAACACTTTTATGCGTGTTTTTTTTAAACCTGTTATTACAAAACTGTTACTGTTTACATTATTGGTGGAAATGATAATACGAATTCCAACACTTATGCGTGGTTTCTTTTTAAAAACATAAAACAGTAACAGGTTTTTAAAAATCGTTGTACAAAATAAAACCTAAACTCTTGTTCAGCCTTGTATTAATTAGTATAATCAATCACTCTCTCAGCTAGCCAAACTACTCAACTTATTTTGTAATTTAATATCAAACACAATATTTAGAAACGTACACAAACACAGTATCAACGTGGTTTCGATGTAAAATCAAACCTTTAATTTTAAAATGTATTGTTACGTCTCCGTGTGTTAATTAATTTTCCGTAACTTCGTTCCGACGAAACTTAAGCGACACAAGCTCTTTACTTAATAAAACTGGTTTATTCTTTCAACAGGGTA